TCTGTAATACAGCGTGACTGCCAGGAGGAAGGGGTGCGATTTCCCAGGCTGCTCCCACCTGAGCCAAGCAGATCCCAGGCCCTGCGAGGTTCCAGCTGGGGGCTGAAGCTTTAAGTGTTTGCTTCCCTCCAGGGCAAGATCGCCCCTCGCGTAGAGCCACTGCTCTCATGCAGAGTGGCAACTCTTTAGCTGGATGTTACTTACCTGTTTTGTTACTCCATACCTCATGCCACCCGACGTGCAAAGGGTCAGCCTCCCTGGCAGCTACAGTCCCTGTGTCCCCCCCCCACCCCACCCTCACCCCCATGGAGTCAGAAAGCTGAGATCTGCATTCCCCACCTTAGCCTCTCCCCGTACATCTTGCTGCCCTGTACATATGGTTTCTGTTTTCCTAAGCCTCAGCAGAGCACAGGCAACTGCCCACACTGTAAACACGCCTCTGGGTATCGACACAGGGTTGGCTGCACTGGATTTCTCAACTTTCTGCTTCTAGGTAATGGCTGATCTAGAGTTGAGGACACGATGGGGTTGTGGGGGTTGGGGGGGAACTGAGCTGTGCATGTTGTAAAGCCCGTGTTTCTATAAGCTGAGTTTCGCAAGCTTAGCACTCTTGATAATCAGGTCAGATGATGCTCTGAGGTTAAGGAGGAGGCTGACTTGTGCACTGTAAGATACTCAGCAGCATCCCTGGCCTCTATCCACTAGAGGCCAGTAGCATCCTCTAGCCCAGTGGCAACAACCCAGATTACCTCCAAACATTGCGAAATACCTTCCTTCCCTACCGAACCACGTTGCCCCTTGTTTAGAGCCACTGCTATAAAGCAGAGTAGCAGCTTTCTGTTTTGTATTTTACTTACCTGTTTTGTTGCTGAACTTGACATAAATGTATTAATCTTTTCAGTAAATTGAAAAAAATGAAACAGGGACACTCATTGTCTGATGAGTTGATGATCATACCCACAGAACTCAGCTGACAGACCTTCATTTAAAATTCCATTTGGGCACTTGAAACAACATAAAATTACTTTCTCAGAAGCTTTCCCAAAATTTTGATTAACCACCATCATTAAACATTCCCTTTGTCAATAACCTGATTTGCCCACTCAGATTTTTAAACATCAGTTTTGTCTGGCATGGTTTTTTCACTAGAAACCATGTTGGTTATGTGTGAATTGCCCATCTTTTTACAATCTCTGCTCCGGTAGCATGTACAATGAGTCTCTGGTAGGAGACAGACGTGGGAGGGAAAATATTTCTCCTTAACCACAGGAAGGGATTTTTTACAATGCCTTTTAGCTGTGGATACCCAAGGCACCTCACCCAGCAGGAAAGAGAGAGAATGTTCTCTCTCCAGCTGAAAAATGGCACTTCACTGGAGCTAAACCCTTTTCTAAACTTCCTCTCATGGAAGAGACAATCCAGATAATGGACGTTTGTTTAAAATACCCATGTGCCTTAATACAGAAGACCCTTTAGTTTAAGAGAAATGCACTTAAAATTAATGAATACCTTGTAACATAAGTTTTTTCACATGCGTGGTCAGGCGTTTTATAATAGGATACTCTTGAATCTATAGAGTTTGGTGGGTTTTATCATATAGTAATATATGTGTATATATATAGTATATATATGATCAGAGAACGTTGTATCTGTGCAAATGTAGATTTCAACAGAACTGAAAAATTGCAGGAAATAATCTCCAGAGGATCTAGGGGACTAAAAAGGATCTGCCTCTTATTTCCTTAAAGTCTTAAAAAACAAAATAACTCCAATGGCTTGAACTTCAATTGTTTAAAAAAGAGAGAGAGAGAGAGAGAAAAGAAAAAGAAAAAAGAAATCTTCTGTGGTCAGTCCTTTATATTTATCATCTGGAATAATTTCTAACTAAAGAAACAAAACAATCAATAGTGTTATAAAAGTCACTTATATACTCTGAGTTTGAAACAACTGCTTTATGCCACAGAATTCCTGTTGCTACCTCCATTAGTGACTGAGTAATTCAATATGTCTTGAATGTCAACATATTTTTATTACTCAGCTAAAGTTGGCTTTGCTGGTTTAAATGTCATTTAGAGTGATCAATTGGCAGCTTGTTTGGGGTTATTTTCACATTTATGAAAGGGAAAAGTTTGCAAGAATCAAGTGTTCTTGAAACATATAGGTAGAGTCTGTTCTCTGGTAAGCCCTCCCCTTCATTCACCAACCAAAGAGCAGATAACTTTCGAGATCTCCTTTATTAAATGGTTTACATAAAGTTCCAAGTTTGAGGCCTCTGAAAAGCCAGCATGGTAGCCCAGGGCGGGTTAAGCCCTTACTTGGAGAAATGGTCTGGTTCCCATGTGTGGGAAATGCAGTGAACCACAGAGCAAGACAGAAGCCGCAGAAACAAGGAAAGTAAAAAGTGCACATGAGCGTGGGGATGTAAGGACCATCCACCTCATGCTTTTAGCCCCAGTGGGCCGAGAGGTGAGGGGAGTAGCCATATGTTCCTCACGTTCCCGTGGGCACAGTTTCTTTACATCAAACTGCTAAAGACAGTCTTTTTATTGTTAGTCAAATGAATACTCCAGAGACTCAGGGACTCCCATTCCCAATCCAGATGAATCCAAAGGTGCCATCAGGCCTCTCTGTGACAGACATGGTCTCCCTGTGGAGAAGCAGTAGAGGAGCTGTACACACAAACCCCCTTCGTTGTTCCTTCTAATTTGCTGGCATTTTATGTAAGGATGTTTGGTTTTGTCAGACATTTTCCAGTTGGAAGTGATGGCGGGGAAATTAAAACGTCTGCCATATGACGATAGGACAGGCACTGAGTCCACAGCTCCGTCCTCTGTTCCATCTGCAGTAAAAATGTCGTGAGACCAGGAGGGGGCAGGAGGGTTAAAACACGCCGATCTCACTGCTTTGCCTAGCAACTAGAGTCATCCTGCGACGAGTGCCTTCATAATAAGCTAGATTCTTCTCAGCCTGCATTAGTGTGACGCTGACTTCTCCAGGTGCTTTATGGCCCCCCTGCTCTCTCCTCCCCGGCTGGCACCAGAATGTGGTTCAGCTCCCCGAGTATGCAGTGTCTTTGCTTCAAGAAGGGAACAGTTTGTCCTGTTCTAAAATACAGTAACTCGTGTATCCCATTAATCTTTGGACCCAGATAATTGGGGGTGAGGGGGAAGGCTATGGTCATTTTAAGTTTCATGTTAGTTTCTTGAAAGATGAAGCCTCTTCAAAAATGCCACATTTCCTTCTGCCATTCAGAGAAAAGGCTGGGTTGCAGCAAGGTTGCACTGAACAGAGCGCAACTCAACTCTGGAAAGTCCGAAAATTTTACAGTATTTATCTGTTAACCATTAGGAAGAATGGTGCAGAGCCTGGACCCCCACAGGTGTCACTCACTCACTGTGGCCTTGGAGAGAATTACCAAGCCCTTTAAGCCCCAGCTTCATCCATAAAATAGGAATAGCTACGGCACCTGCCTCCCAAGAGGTCACCAGGGCCAAGTGCAGCCAGGCTTGTGGAGGATGAGCACGGTGCCTGCTCATGGCACCCGGTACATGGCGTTATTGTTATGTTCATGACTTTCCCCTTCACTTGCACCATCGCTCATACAGTAATCCCATAAAAGACATGTTATTCCTGTATCATATATGAGGAAACAACCTCAGGGAGATTTAAGAAACTCGCCCAAGGTGACCTGACTCAATGCCCTTGTAAAAAGGTTCCTGAGAAGGGTGTGTTTCATTCCCTGGGAGGTGACCGTGTTGGCTCTGAATTAGTCCAAGTCTCGATTAGACACTGCCCTCCAGGTGTGCCAGGCCTCACCCAACAGAAGGAAGTCAGCACGGTGTCATGCGAGAGACCCAGAATTTGAATCCCAGCCACCTGAGGCCTCCAAGGATTAGAAAGGATGCGAGGAAGATGTTGAGCTCACATACAGAATTCCTTCATTGATCCTGCACTACCCGCCCTTCCGGCTGGGGCCTGCTGAGGCACCCAGGATCAGTAGTGAACCCCTGGAAATCAGAGCCTCTTATTCTCCTCTGAGGGCTGGTCCAGAAAGCACACCTAGATAGGACATGTCTGCCTCCATCCATCTCTCCAGGGCTGCCAGAGGGCAAACCACATACCATTTTGGCACATCCAGAAAACACTAGAACAAGGGAAAAGGGTACAGTCTGTGTCTTCTCTTTTAATATGCCAACCCACACCCAAAAGCCGAGGCCCAGCACAGTGCCTGGCCTGTATTAACTCACTTAATAAATACTTGTGGCCTGACCAAGTGATGGACGGAATGTCAGTCCTCCGAATGGGGAAAGTGATTTTCTTTTTTACTTTGGTTCCTTTCTACCCTGATTTCATTATGAGAAAACAGTTTTAAAGAATTCCCAAATAGGCCGTAATGAGAAAGTATCTGTCCTCTTTTGAAAACCATGCTAGCCACAGCGCCCAGTCGTAGCAAACTGTAGAGTTTTCCTCCCCACAGCCTTTCACGCATCACACTTCTTTTTCTGCTGCTTGGTAGCCTGCCACGATCTTCTTGTCTTTGTCCATACAGCCTCCAACCCCAGAGTAATCATGCAGCTCCACCAACCAGACCATGGTGCGTGCCTGGAACCCTGGGGCTCTCTTCCCACCCTTTGACCACGCGCACCCAGAGTTACCCCCTTTTTTGGCTTGCTCTCTGTCTTTCATGGGAGCTCTGCTCAAGTTCAAGTCGTTGGTCATGACCTTGGACAAGGTGCTTCCTCTTCCAGGTCACGGCGTCCCCATCTGTGGAGGGAGGCAGATGGTGGGGATGGTCTCTTAGACCTCTACAGGTCAAGGGTCGCATTTCTCCAGCACCATCCGCCAGGTCTCTCTGGGCCCTGGTCTCCTCACCATGAAATAAGAAAGACCATCAATCCACAGAAGGCAGAAGGGATTCCTTGATTATTTTCTGATTCTTGCTCTTAGTGCCTTAACAGGAAACCTATTCAAAAGTGGTTTTTTGCCCTTTTCCTCTGTAGACTGTAGACTGCTTTGGGATTACGTCTATCAGTTGCTTTCTGACAGCCGGTACGAAAACTTCATCCGATGGGAGGACAAAGAATCCAAAATATTCCGGATAGTGGATCCCAATGGACTGGCTCGACTATGGGGAAACCATAAGGTAAAAGGGTACCAGCTATGTATTCTGCCAACTAGTGCCAAAAAAAAAAAAAAAAAAAAAAAAGAAAGAAAGAAAAGAAAAAAGACTTTATCTTCTGGGTAGGAGGATAATTGCCTGGCTCCTCCCTCCTCGGCGTGCCCCTCATTATTTAGTTTATTTCTCACAGGGCAAACAATTAGTTGCAAAGGGAAGGAAATAATTAAAGATACCACTTTCCATTTGGTTACTTAGGCCAGAGGCCAGTTAACTTCACACCCCCTGAGTCTGAGTCTGATAGGGCCACCCTGGGAGCAGCCCTCCATCTTATCCCCTCCAGCTGGCCCTGCCACCCCCTATGTCTCCAGGAGCTGGGGGACAGGGGAGCTCCGCAGAGCTGTGGGACTCACAAGACAGTGGTGAAGGGTCACTTCTCTCCTGCCCAGTTAGAAATTCCCATGTCTGCAAAAGCCCCCTTCTCCGTGGAAATGCTTACCCTCCGACTCTGCAGAATCCCCTTAAAAAGCAAACAGGCCAGGACTGTTTGCCCCCCCTACTTTTCCATGCTGGGAAGAGGGACTGGAATTTAAAAGATGCAGTCTTTTATAGTTAGGAAAACTGTCAAAGTGCATAGATGTAAAACACCCTAAGTGTCCAATGTGAATGACTAGATAAAAGAACGATGGTGTATACATAGCATGGAATATCACTCAGCCCTAAAAAGGAAAGAAATCCTGTGACAGGCAACAACACGGAGCAATCTTGAGATTATACTGAGGGAAATAAGCCAGTCACAGAAAGACAAGCATCGCATGTGTCCCTTCGTAGGAACTATTGAAAATGGGCAAATTCATCCAACCAAAGAGCAGAATGGTGTTGCCAAAGGTTGGGGGGAAAGGGGGAGTATTCATCAATGGGCGTAAAGTTTCCATGAAGCAGGATGGGTAGGTTCTAGAGATCTGCTATATAACCTTGTACCTTGTACATAGAGTTACCACGACTGTAGGACAACACTTAACAGTCTGTCAAGGGGCTGGGTGTCATGTTAAGTGTTCTTACCACAGGAAAAGAAAACAGGGACACAGAGCAAAGAGTCTCTCCCCTCAAAAAAATACTTAAATAAATACATCTGTATCCTACTCAAAACAAATGAGTCACCAAGGTCCAGGCTGACCACAGGCCGGTAGATGTGGGTGGGACAAAGCAGGCAAGACACCTGGGAGACACACCCCCAGGTGAGCTGAGTGAGAGGGGGCAGAGGGGGGGCACAGCCCAGCCCCACCAGAGGTTGGCAGCCTCAGCTCCCTCCGGCAGGCCCCAGGGCCATGTGGAGGAAGACGTGAAGTAGGCCATAACCAAATACGGCCAGGCCCCACTCACAGACTCCTCAGTGTGTGAGTCACCGAGAAAAATCCCGCCGCGGCTCCTGCCTGTGCCCGGGCCCTCCAGGGCTCGGAACCTCCGTATTCTTCCTTCCAGAACAGGAATTTAAACAACAACAACAACAACAGATCTCTTCCTTAAAATGATAAACCAGAAACACAAGTTGGAGAAAGGTCACTGCAACAAAAAAAAAAAAAAGAAAGAAAGAAAGAAAGAAGGAAGGAAGGAAGGAAGGAAAAGAAAGAAAGAAAAAGAAAGAAAGAAAGAGAAAGAAAGAAAGAAAGAAAGAAAGAGAGAGAAGGAAGGAAGGAAGGAAGGAAGGAAGGGAAAGAAAGGAAGGAAGGAAGGAAGGAAAGAAAGAAAGAAAGAAAAGAAAGAAAGAAAGAAAGAAAAAAAGAAAAGAGAAGGAAGGAAGGAAGGAAGGAAGGGAAAGAAAGGAAGGAAGGAAGGAAGGAAGGAAGGAAAGAAAGAAAGAAAGAAAGAGAAAAGAGAAGGAAGGAAGGAAGGAAGGGAAAGAAAGAAAGAAAGGAAGGAAGGAAGGAAGGAAGGAAGAAAGAAAGAAAGAAAGAAAGAAAGAAAGAAAGAAAGAAAGAGAAAAGAGAAGGAAGGAAGGAAGGGAAAGAAAGAAAGAAAGAAGGAAGAAAGAAAGAAAGAGAGAAAGAATGAATTCTCTGTGGGTCAGAAGGCGAAGGATGGCCCACAGATGGGGGGACCCTGCAGGAAATTCACTGAGCGAGTAGAGCTTGGGCTTGGGCAAGGAAACAAGGGAGGTTGCCTTGGGATATGCTTCCTTAGCTTCGGGGCCAAGACTTCTGACAAAAGGCGATTCACCTTCGGACATGGACACGTCTTGGCTCCTAGACTTGGCGGGGTGTGTGACAGCAGAGGGGCTGGGCACAGGGTGGGGGTGGGGGGTGGCCCGGGAGGCAGCAGAGGGAGGAGCCGGAGCTTTCCCCAGCCGGCAGGGCCACAGCAGCCGCTGAAGAGCTTTTATTTTAATAGCTCCCCAGCGTCTTCTCTGAGGTTGATTTCACGGTGTCTTTGTGCTTTTTTTCTCTCTTCCTCCTTTGAACAAACAGAACAGAACAAACATGACCTATGAGAAAATGTCCCGAGCCCTGCGCCACTACTACAAACTAAACATTATCAGGAAGGAGCCAGGACAAAGGCTTTTGTTCAGGTAGAACTTCCTTTTTCTCCTTTCCTTCTTTCGGGAGGATACTGTTTTCTTTAAATAAGAGGGAGGAGGGAGACTGTTAAGATCTCTACCTGCCTGTGTGACACTCAGAGCCCTCCGTGCTACAAATTGGATACCAGAGGCTGGGTTGTTAGAATTTTAGGGGGAATTTTTTTTAAACTTATGTCTGCATATTAGAGCAAAGCCAAAACGAAGTAAACACAATCTGACTCACCTTTAAAATAATGCAGTGACCAAATAGTATATCTGGCATTAACATCCAGCGTAGTTAAAAGGAACAAAGTAACATTGTCGAGGTATTAAATCTAGGCTTCCAGGTTCCCAGCCTTCCCAGCTGGGTTCTGAAACAGTGTGTGTCAAAGGGCAGGTCGTGACCCGTTCGTGAATCAAGAAATAGATTTAATGAGTCAGTCACAACTGTTTTTTTTTAATGAAATAGAACCAAATTGGGTAGAATAGAGTTGAAAATATCAGATGGTATCACATGAAATAAGAGTAACTAATAATTCATGAAAATTGGGGGGTATGTATGTATATGTGTATACGTGCTGAGTCATGATGTAAAATGTATTTCTTACGATGTATTATAATCAGAAAAGTCTGAGAGCTGCTGCACTAGACATTCCTCTTTCCAGACTTCCTCACAGCTAATGAGTTCCAACCATTTAACCTACCACATAGACTGTAATTCCAAGTTCTATGTAAGAGAGGAGAAAGAATTAGAAGATGAAGAAGAAGGGATCTAAAGGAGCAGTCAGGAGAGGTAGAGTGGTGGTAATTGACACTGGTGGGGCCATGGGGAGACCCAGGAAAGGCTGAGAGAAGGTGGGATCAACACACATGATGTTAGGTTATGGGTTTAGCAGGTGGGACAAAAAAGAGTTTCAGATGGGACTAGCGAAATGGATTTGGAATTCTCTACGCACAGGTAGAAAGTGACACTCAGTATGAGTAGACAAGCCTGCTGGGATAGATTGGAAAGAGCAAAAAATTTAGACTTCAGCAGTGGGAGCTATGGTAACTTAGGAAGAGGGAAAACAGCTGAGATCTTGAAAAACAACAGAAGAGGCTGTTCAAGAGTTGGGAACAGAATGGAATGAAGTAAAAAAGAACCCTCCTTTCTCTGGCTCTCCTGATGCTTTCCTGTCATCCTTCACCCTAAACTTGGGCCTCGGCTCCTATTCTTCCTGGATGAAATGATCCCATTACACGGTTTCACTTATCCCTTAATAGTTAGACTCTGTAGCCAGCTCTAAAATCCTCGTGAAATTCCAGATCTCAATTTCCAAGAACTTCTCATAGTACATGTGCACGAAATACCACAACACGAAATAGTCAAGACAGACGTTCTTCGCCTACTAGAAACCCCCCTCCCCGCATCCAGAATTCTCCTTACTCATCAGTGGCGTCACCATTATTCTGAGTGACCAGCCTTGACATTGGAGTTATCAGTGACTCTTCCCATATCCAGGTTAGTCATTGCACTGGATTGTCCTTGGCTCTTCCATTCCATTTCCACTGCATTCTATTTAGTCGGGACTAGAAACCACATTTCCCAAGATTTCTTACCAGCAGGTTCCAGGTCGGAGTCTACCAATGACAAGCACTTGCATGAGAATTTGGGAGGTATAAGAATGGCAAAAGCATTATCATTGCTTCCCTGTCTAGACTTTTATGTTTTACGCCTAGATTAATTCATAATCCTTTCTACCTCTGGTCCACTCTTCCTGCCTTCCAAATTCATCACGCACCCTACCAGCTGCCCTACAACACTAGTATGATTCCCTGTGTCAGAGACCTATATCCCTTTCACTTTTGCTTTTTTAAAAATATGTGTCCCCTCTAGATCCATCTCAAGTGTCCTGCCCTTCACGAGGCCTTCTTCAGCTACTCAAACACACAGAGATATCTTCTTCCATCATTTCTTGGATTCCCTTGGCCCTAAACCACACTGCATTTGCAATAATTGTACATGTGAAGTTCTCCCCACAACTAGGTCATAAGATCCTAGAGAGGAGAGGATTGCATTCTATATAATTGTGTTTTATACCTTATGGGGGTTGTCAGTAAATGTATCTTGACAAGCCCAATATGGTCTATCAGAAGCTTATTATGGAAAAGTAGTCAAGAGAAGAAAGGGGTAGTTTGCAAGGCCAAATATAGCCCATGTGTGGATTTGGCCTCAGGAGCTTGTTAGTGACTTCAGATGGTGGGGAGAAGTTTTCATGAGGACATGAAAGGATAGGATGGACCACAGACTTGACAAATCCTACTGCTTGAGAAGTTCAGCAATAAAGAAAAAGAGAAGCAGTAGGGGGAAAGTTCATAGGCTTCCAAGAGTGATTTTCGACAATTAGAAAAGGACAGAATAGTGCTATTAGTGAGAAGAGTTGGTCATTTTTGAGGAAATGAGTGTTGGAAGCCAGACTTGCCACAAAATCAAGGCCTCTTGGTATGAAACCCAGTGTGTAGTCAAGTGTTCAGTTGTTGGTGCTCTTCACAGGATGTGTAGGCATTTTGAAAAGGAAAATTTCAGTAGGGACCTGAGCCATTATATGGCTCTTTGATGAGGAGGCAGGGCTCAGAGAAAGGAGCCAAGAGGGAAGGCCAGATAAGGTTTGGAGGAAGACATGAGCCATGATTTGTGGCCAGGTTAGAGTAAAGGGCTCCTGGTCATAAACAAGTGGGAGCCCAGAGTTTCCTGGGTAGAGATGACAGAGAGCCCAGGTGGGCAGGCTGAAGAGTGTGTCCTTGGCTTTATCTGAGAAGTGCTCATCATAGGCTTTCGAACATGGAGTGACAAGAGGAAAAGTATATTTTCAGGCAGTTTATCTGGTGCAGAGCAGAGTGTCTGGGGAGGGAAAGTGTGCAGGCCCCGAGTGGAGCTGTGGAAGGGGTGCTCCCATTCATGAGGCTACACCATCTACACCCAGGCTGCCTTCCTGAACCAGGGAAAATCATGGTCAAAAGGAGTCGCTGATGTTATTTCCAACAAGAAGATAAAGCTTGAGGTTTGCACCCGGCTGCAGAGGAAGATAGACTAATGGGGATTTTTTGCTAGCGTGTTGGGTGGATCAGTGATAACATTGAAAAGGATTCTTTCTTTTTGCCTTTCTAATTTCCAAGAGCACCACTAACTTGTCCTCTTATGAAAATTTTCCATTCGACATTTAATTGTATCCTTTGAGTTAAATTCAAGTTTTGCATACCATTCCCCGGGCTCACAGTCTGGGATAGAAATGGATCTACAGCTCTCAGAGGTCATTGGAAAATCTTAACTCTCTAAAAATAAGAATCAATGGGCTGTACCAGGGTTCCCTCACATGGCCATGCACAAGGCACTACACAGCCTCAATGGGTGCTGTCTCCTAGACTTGTTTTGTAGTTCTTTGGCCATTTTCAGGCTGTCAGAGAAAGGGGCACCTCTTCCCAGTAAGTTAGCGTTACTGGCGGGGTTCAGTAGGTCTCCAGCTGTCTGAGGTGATGGGGCCTTTGCTTTTAGTTGAGAGTTCAAGGGGAGGACCAATTTGAGGACAGTGTAATCTCTGGACCCCTCCATTTCCTCTTCCAAAGGTTTATGAAAACCCCTGATGAAATCATGAGTGGCCGAACGGACCGTCTGGAGCACCTTGAGTCCCAGGAGCTGGATGAACAAATATACCAAGAAGATGAGTGCTGAGGGAACCAAGCCACGGCCTCAGCGGGGGGCCGGCAGCCGGGGGTCCCCTGCCCATGAGGGCCCTGGAGGCGTGGCAAGCAGGCGGGCTGAGAGCTGAACCGGAAGAGACCCGGGAGTGGGAATGACACTTGTCTCGCATAGCGGGAGGGTCCCCAGAGCACCTTAGACAAACCACCCAGCGAAAGCAGGGCTGGCATTCTGGCCGAGGGCACGAGCCTGGGACTCCTGGTTCTGTTTTCTCCTCATGTGGAACCTCTCCATCTGTAATTCCTCACCCTCACCCGTCCACCTATTGTTAATTTCATGGTGTTTTCGGTTTTTTTGTTTTGTTGTGGTTTTTTTTTTTTTTTGGTTATTTTATTATTTTTTTTTGAAGACCATGCAGTTTGACTTTTCATCGTTCATACAGGGGAAGACATCCAAGGTTGTTTTCCTATGGAAATATATATCTATTATATATATCTATTTTTTGCAAATCTCACAAAGTGCAGCAAGCCCAGCTGGTCAGGAAAGAGAACACTTGCAAAGGGTTTCAGGTTCCTCTTCAGCCTGCCACGTGGATCAGATTTGTGCCTGTTAATTGGGTCTTGGCTGGAAAAAAAAAAAAAAAAAAGAAAAAGATGCTTTTAAAAACGATAAAGTGAAAAGGAGAGCTTTTTCTCCCTCTTGCTCTTTCCTTCCCGGCCTCCCGTCTGTCCTCCCTCCCCGCCTCCTGTTGAGGTTCAGATGCCTTTTAGCAGAATTGAGCCTCTCCTGGAGTCCTGAGCATTACGGATGCCCAGAGGCTATCTGTGGTCTGGGTCCTTTGCAGCCGGCGCGGCGTTGCCAAATCCAACCCACATCCCGGCATCTGGCTACCCACGGGAGGGAGGCCCCGGACCTCACAGGTGCTGCAGTCCTCCAGAAAGAGACATGCCAGCCCAGCCCCCCCACCCCTACTCCCACCCCGACATGGCTGCGAGAACCCCAGGATTTGGTGGTTCCTCGGGACAGAAGATTCAGGACAGAAGGCGGCTGCATCCTTCAGAAGGCCCTAGCATCGGGGAATTAGCTTGCAAGTTCTGCAAGGCAGAAAATAAAAAAGACCCCACATGGCCTGATGATCAGAAACTAGGAGGAAATTGTGCTGCAGGGGGCTTCTGTGCTTCCAGGGCAGGTGACTGAGGCTAGCGAGAGAGAAGGTCTTCTCTGCTCTATCCGGAGGCCATTTGTCGTCAGTTTTATGCCCTCACCTGCTTTGTTTTGTCTTTTTTCCCAATTCCTAGCCTTTTTTTTTTTTTTTTAACTTTTCCTGGTCCCCACAAGATCCAGGGCATTTGAGAGGGGAGGGCCCTGGTGTACACAGCCACTTGCTCCCGGTGTTTGCCAGGCCAGGGCAGACAAGAAACTCCTCAGACTCATTACCTATTTCTTTTCTTCTTCTTTCGTAGCTGTGTTTCAGAATGGACCCATTTGTGGCTCTTTTTCACCTCCAAATCAGGTCCACGGTATCTTGTAAAATGAGGGAAGTGCCACCTCCTAGTACTTTTGATGATATCAGATATTTTTAAAAAGCTGTTTTAGGGTGGTTTTTTTTTTTCCTTGTCTTGCCACCTGAATTGACTCTCCGATTTCCAGGTTCAGAATCCAATATTAGGAAGACAGTCTTTTTTAATCCTAAAGATTAGACCTGCCTTACAAAGCACCCCCCTCCCCACCCCATTCCTCTGTTTCCTCTACTCACTCGGGTGAGCACCTACACTCCCAGCATCACCACTGGCAGCACTAGGGGGAGGCTGCTGGAGTCCTGGGTGTCTCCCCAAGCCACTGCTGACTGCATCAGGCAGGTGGGGGTTGGAGGAACACAGGCAGGAGGAATTCAACCCCGCCCGTACTGACAAGAACCCCAGCCTGGGAAGAAGGAAGGACAGACTGACTGTGGGTCGGAGGCCCCGGAATCAGGGAGCCCTTCAAAGCTTTTCATCTGTGCTCCGTTCCTGCCTCTTATCGAACCGCAGATAGAAACATGGCTGTAGCCAGCCTCCTCTGCTGTCACAGGCTCCCCCCAACTCGACCTTCCAGAAGGTTGGGCTTGCGGTAAAGTCAGGGACCTGCTGTGTGAGGCTAGAGGGTCCACTGATGAAGGAAGGGTTTGCTCTCATCTGCTTGAACGGTGGTGAGATTCAGCTGGCCCCAGCATGCTACAGATACCTTTCACGAGCGGTCACTCCAGTCTCTAAGATGACTGATGTTGGCTCACACCTGGAGATCTTAAGCCAAGTACCTGGTGTGTTGTGAAGGCTGTTGAGTGTAAGCGCTGGAGAGAGAGGGTGCATTTTGACTGAGGCCCTTTGTGTGGCGATGTAACCAGAGACAGGACATGGTGGGGCTCTTCCCTAAGGTTAGAACATCTCATTCTGATAGAAGGACCTGGGCTTTTACTGTTTGAAGAATATTACAGTTGAATTAGGGAGGGAAATTCCCATTGGCCCCGAGGATTTCTGTATTTAAAGCAATACCCTGTAAGAATACGTAGGACAGGATGACCCCTTCAGTCGCTTGAAAGGATAGAAGGTGCTAATTCCAATATGATCTTTATTTCCCACCCAGATATTCCCAATAAGAGTTTTCTGTTGACTCCCTTAAATTAGGCAAACTTCCTTCTCATTGCTTCGAGCTAACACGCGGGCAGTGCTGACACCAGAGACACGGCGCTTACACGCTGCTGACCCCAGGGATGCCTTAGGACATGTTGACCCCGCTTCAGACTTGGCAAAGCACCTGATAGACCCTGGAAGGGATTCAGAGGAATCAGGCATAGCCCCAGCCCCCCGAGAGCGTCCACTCAACCTGTAGACTCTATCCAAGCTGAAATTCCTTACTTCAGCACCAAGTGCTGGGGCCAATGGCACGTTCACCTGGGACCATGTGAAAAGTATGTCTGTGACCTAGTTGGCCTTTCCCTGCTGCTGTCCCGGGACTGCTTGGCTTAGATCAGAAATCTAGAAAGGGCTCTGCAGAAGAGCACCGCAGAGCAGGGAGAGCTTGTTTCACCTATATCTGGGGGGTCGATCTCACTTGTATCTCCAGCTAGAAATTCTCTAGCACCTTCTCTTGCCTGCATCTTGGGTTCGCCATGTTGCCTCCTCTCCATCAGAGGAGGGCAGTGGCTATTGGCTGGACTGGCCATGTGGCAGAACAGTCTTTCTGTCCCAAGGCAACTTGGTCTCTTGCCTGCACAGGGTCACCAGTGTCCTGAGTCCTTTCTTTCTTCCTTTCTCTTTCTTTCTTTTTTTCTTTCTTTCTTTCAGGGGGACATCCCCACCGAAAAAAGGGGATAACAGACTGATGGATTTTCTCCTCTCAACAGTGTGTTTGGAACCCTCTTACCCAGGGTCTTTTTACGCTGGTGTCTTGCCCAAATAAGAATGTAGCTTTAGCTAAAACTTCGATGGCTATGACAGGATCCACCTAAATGACTAAGTAACTACTGTTTCCACCTTTTACTGTCTAGGCTTCAAGTCAGTACATTTTTGAAACATTCACTCCCTTCTCCAGAAGGGAGACCTGAGTGTCCAGGAGGCAGGATGGTGCCCTGGGAGCAGACAGCATGCCAGGGACAGAATGAGGAGTGGAATCCAGCCTGGCCAGACCCCCATTGGACCCATTCCTACCCAGGAAGTTGAAGATAAAAGATTTGGTGAAATCCCCAAAGAACAAAGGGCAGGTTTTTTTGCCCTGACGTTCGGTGCTAGTAAGTTTTCATCCCCTCAGCCTGCTCCTCTTCTCTGCAGAAGTCTGGAAGGAAGGCAGCGATCTAAGGAAGCCGTGGTGGGGGAGGAGGGTGACAATAATTCCTGCCTGTCTAAAAACCACAGAAGACTAACCTGATCCTCTTTTGGCCCCATCTGCATCAACACTAAACAACTACAAACTCCCCGAATCTTTCACACATGCCAAGTGAACATTCTCGACGATTTCTCTTTGTGACTGCAACCACCTGCAAACCAGAACGAATCTAGAATTTCTTCTTTTTTTCTTTTTGTTTAATTTCTAATCTCTTGTTGTTTATGAGGTGTGGGGTTTATAAGGGACTGAATCAAATGAATGTAACAAAAAAGAAAAAAAAAAAACAAAAACAAATGCCTTTTCTCAGGGCCAGTGAGTTGCAAATAATTTTTAAAGAAAAGCCTATAATTGCATCATCTCAATAAATTTTTTATAAAAAAAAAAGGACTAAGTCTCTGTTTTTAATAATGTGAAATGGAGTCATACAGGCAAGGTACGCCAATGAGGTAAATCCTGTCTCCACTCAATTACGGTATAAAGTGCAGTCCTAGTTTTTCACTGGCAGGCAGCCTCTGTCACAGAGCCATCTGCAAGGCAGTCTTGAGACAAACGGCACCAGAAGGGTCAGAAAGTTCAAGTCTGAGCATCTGCCCCAGGTGGGGAAATATGCCGGAAGGAACCCCGACCAGAGATGCCTGGGTCCTGTGCTGGGCCAAAGATTTATCAGCTCACTGAGGACTGCGGTGATTCCAAGTTCCTCTCACAATCGAACGGTTCCTTAATCCTACCGAAATCATGGATGTGAGTCTGCAGGTGAGGTAGGGCCCAGGACTCCGCTAAGGACCACAGTGACCTGCAAGGTCATCACCCAGCTCAGAGCCCACCCCCATGCTCCGCATGTCTCCTCGATACTGGCCAGTGGGGCCCCCTGCCAACCAGTAGGTGCTTATGATTTCAATATCAAACATCCTGTGATCCTCCAGAACTGTCTGTCCTCAGAGGTGGGTAGAAACGAAAAGAATGGAAAATGAAGCAAATGAAATTGCTGGTTAGCAACTCAGATGTAAGTTTGGGAAGTAGACGTTTGAAAGCCATCAGATCATATCTGTATTTAAGTTGTCCTGGATACTATGTCTTCCGTGACCATGGGTTGGTGATGCTTGGCCCTATGTTCCATATGAAGGGAGCACAGTGTCAAAGAGTAAGTGTCCGTATATTTCTTGAGGTGCTAGTAATGCATCTGAGGCTACTGTTTTGATAACTCAGCATCACCTGGGAATTGCTAGAAATGCAGATTATCAGTTCCTATCCCATAAACTAAATCAAAAACTTTGGTGAGGGAGGGGGATTTAGCAATTTTTAAACAAGCGCTCCAGGTGATTCGGCTTCTTGCTAAAGTTTAGGAACCAAGGCTAGCATCAGTTTGTTCATCTGGGTATAAAGAAGACTATGTGGTCTTATAAATTGTAAGTAAACAGTAATTGACAAATTTGTGTTAACAGTACTCACACACGGCAATGCTGTGTTTTTCCTAAGACTGAATATACCGTGGAATGAGTGGATGAAGAACCACCCATCAGAGTCGTCTTCTTGCTTCCTCCAAAGGAAGGAAGTCAGCAGTCTGTTTGCTGTAAAGATGAGCTGGGTGGTGGTGGTTGTTTTAAGATGAGCTGTTTTAAAAGAGTAGCTTTAGGGGCTGACCTGGTCTTTGCAAATTAGAGCACAACTCCTTGTTCACTTGTGTCCATTTCTCTGCCTAACCAACCTAACCTAAAAAGGAAAGTAAAAGGGTCATTGTCATCTATTCACTGTGACAATCTGTCCCTGGAGTTATTAAGCAGAGCTCCGATGACCACTGAGCCAGAGCATTGGCAAGGGAATCCAGAACCACTGGACTTGACCTTCTCCAACCTGAGAAGTGCTTGTGAGTCACCAGGATCTTGGTAAAAAGCGGATTCTGCCCGTAATATCTACATCTTGGGAATTATGGGCAAAAGATCTGCTCTCTTCTACTCTACTCTCAGAGTGAGGCTTGAAATTTGTCATTTCTAACAAGCCCTGCCCAATCGCACCAGTGACACTGACACCTGCTAGTCGTCAGACCACACTGTGAGTAGCAAGATATCCATTCTAACCCATCAAGCCCTGAGATTCTGACTCTAATGTAAAATTGAACTAGCCTCTCTCTTTGGTGTGTATTCCTTTGTGAAGTCCTCCCTAGAAAATTGGTCCCTGGGGCCAATCTGCTCTGCAAGAAGTTTGCTTGTTCTCTGGGGCAGCAACAAGAGTGAACACCATGATCAAAAACCTCTTCATGGGGCGCCTGGGTGGTTCAGTCATTAAGCATCTGCCTTCCGCTCAGGTCATGATCCCAGGGTCTTGGGATCGAGTCCTGTGTTGGGCTCCCTGCTGTGCAGGGAGCCCACTTCTCCTGCCTGCTGCTCCCTCTGCTTGTGCTCTCTCTCTCTCTTTCTCTCTCTATCTGACAAATAAATAAAATCTTTTTTAAAAAATCTATGCTTGAAAAAAATATGATCCCCCCCCAAAACACAACCCATAATAGAAAAAAAAAAGATGTTTTGGACAAAGTGAAGTTCATCAAAATTAAAACTCGCTCTTCAAAAGATACCATTAAGAAAATGAAAAGACAAGCTGCAGACCGGGAGAAAAGGCAACTCTTTTATGTACAAAATCAGACATCACAGGCACTGAACATCGTCTCCTGTCTGTACTTGACCCACGACTGTCTTGGAAGATGGTCATTCATTAGCGGGCAGGGTCCGTCACTCACACATAAAAGATAAGAGATGTGGTACATGCCTGCTGTCATGAAACCACCTTCAAAGTGTGTTTTAAAATTATTTCTTCTGTGTGTTGTGTTGGCAAAACACTTCTCACCGTTTGGCGCTTCCTATTCCCGCTTCCCTTTCCTTTTTCAAATTTGTGAAGCAGGCAGCCTTTTGGGAGATATATTAGAGGGTTTTTATTTTATTTATTTTTAAGATTTTATTTATTTGACAGAGAGATAGCACAAGTAGGCAGAGCAGCAGCCAGAGGGAGAGGGAGAAGCAGGCTCCCCGCTGAGCAGGGAGCCCCATGTGGGACTTGATCCCGGGACCCTGGGATCATGACCTGAGCTGAAGGCAGCCGCTTAATTGACTGAGCCAACCAGGCGCCCCAAGAGGGTTTTTAAACTACATAGTAAAATAAATCACTCATTCCTAGTGAAGAACCTTACATGCTAGATCCTCTGGTCTCAGAGCTCCAGCCAATTGTAGCTACAGGCAAAGCAAACTTTTCAGGCAGGGGCCTCGGGCCTGGGAGAGCAGCCTATGGGAGGAATGTGTGACCTGCTGCTTGAGGAGCAAAACTGGCCCCAGACATGGGGCAGTACTGGCAAGGACGGTGGTTTTGTCCGCCCAAGGAGTCTGTCTGCTTCAGGGTCTAGCTCGTTTTGCCAGTCTCCTTAAGAGTCTAAGACAGAGAGACCTGAGTTCGCTGGTGCCAAGTTCCTGGTTTATTCCATTCTGTTGTTAGGTCCCTGGCAGACCAGTGCCCAACCCACCTGGTGTGAGAGCAACAGAGCAGAGTGGTTAAGCAAAGGCCGAGTCAGGATGCCTGGTCCCACCCTACTTCCTCTCACTTAGCTGTGTGACCACAGGCAACTTACCCTCTCTGTGTCTCTGTTTCCTCAGGTGTAGCCCTGGGATCAGGCTGATAATAGTCCCTACCTCAGAAGGATGGTGGTGAGGAGTAGATGAGGGATTACAGAGAAAAGGCTTAGAAACATGCCTGGCACAAAGTTACCTGCTACTAATTTTATACTTTACTCGGGAACCACGGAGCCACCAACCACTGCTTCACCCAGAACAGCTCTCTATCAGTTCCACACATCACAATTCTCTAAAAAGCTACCTTCTGAAAAGTTTCTGCTGTTCCTGTTTTATTCTGTTCTAGTTTGGACACCAGAGAATGAGGGCAACCCCATCACTTCACAGAGGAGGGGTCAGAGGCCAGGTCAGGTAAGGGATCATCTGAGCCCTCCCACACCCCACAGCCGTCTGAGCCAGCACCCCACTACACACACACACACACACACACACACACACACACACACCCCTCAGTGTCCGCAGTGGGCCAAGTCCTCAGCCCTGCGGAGCACCTGAGCACTCAGTGATATTTACTTGTGGCAATGGACTCAACCCAAGGGAAATATTGCCTTGACTCAGGTTTACTGAGAATATTTTGATCTGGTTTTGTTCAGTTCAATAGCTTTAGGAAATGTGTAGGATTCGTTCCATTTAAACTTGGTCTGCGAGTTTCCTTGATTTTGTTTTTCTCCCACTTGCTAAGGAAGTCCTGGCTCAGCTCATAGGTGCACAAAACAATGTTATTTGGGTTCAGTTTGGGGACTGGGAAATTAGAGCATTATGTTTGAAGAGACATCTGAACATGAGGCGGGCCACATGATAAAGCCCCAGAAGTCTGGCTGTTCGGGAAACCAGGAGGTCGGGCTATGAGATGCTGCTAGAAACCTGGCTCACTGCTAGACTCCTGCTTTTCTGTTAGAAAAGGGAAGAATGTGCCTGACCAATTAGAGAGTCTTCCATTTCCAGTCAGAAAAGAATCTTCACACGGAACAACAGGAGAAACAGCAAGCCCGCTACTGGGGTCTAGTCCCACTGAATTAATCACTATCTCAAGCAACTCACTAAAGGAGTGTGGCTCAGTTTCTTAAAGAATTCTTTCCCTCAGGGTGTCTGGGTGGCTTAATCAGTTGGGCATCCGACTCTTGGTTTCAACTCAGGTCATGATCTTGGGGTTCTGGGATCAGGCCCCACTCTCCTCAGTGGAAAGGCTGCTTCTCCCGCTCCCTCTGCTCTTCCCCTCACTCTCGTGCATGCTCCCTCTCTCTCTCTCTCTCTCTCTCTCTCAAATAAATAAATAACATCTTAAAAAAAAAAAAAAAGAATTCTTTTCCTCAACGCAACATTGAAGTGATTCAGTGAAGAAAATGTGTAACAGTCCTAGCACATAAGTGTTAGTTCCCTTTCCTTTTTTATGCCTGACAAACCCTCCCCCCAACTCATACACACTGCACAATTCTGTAATTCTGTTTCTATGGCATTCCTAGTGGGAAAATCACCCAGTGACATCTGCTGAGAGGTGCTGACCTTTTGTTTCTAATCAAATGAATTGCCACTTGACCTCCTCAAGACACACATGACCCTGAGTCAAGACCTTGACCAAAATAGGGTAGATTACCTTGCAAAACCATCTGGGAAGTCAGCACATCCTTCCTCTGTCAACCTCCCAGAGGAGCCTCCCCAAAGATTAGAACGAAATCTGTAAGC